TTGGCTTGACAAGTTAGAACGTGGACGTGCTAGCTCCGAGATGGAGGGAATGGGGAGTAGAAGGGCTGTGGAGAATGGAGATTGTTGACGGCGGCGATATGGAAATTCTTGTTGAACAAGATGGGCGGTTATAGGACGAAAATGACAGGAAGAGTGCCTAGAAGGGGGGTATCGTTGACCGTGGCCGAAGAAGGAGTCGTGGGATAGATGGTGACGAGGACGCTTTGTCGACGGACGAGGTTACAATCCGATGGTCTCAATCGCAGGTGTCGAAGGGGCGGTTTGGGGCCAACGCCGGAGGCAGGCTGGCGCCGAGAGAAAAGAAATGAATTCAGTTGATGAGCTACGTCGCCAGCGCGAAGGCGAGACGATACCGCACCTTGGGGCCCTGTAGATTCTTGTTGAACACGATGGGCGATTATAGGACGAAAATGACAGGAAGAGTGCCTTCGAAGGGGAATATCGTTGGCTGTGGCCGAAGAAGGAGTCGTGGGATAGAGGGTGACGAGGAGGCTCTGTCGACGGACGAGGTTACAATACGATGGTCTCAATCGCAGGTGTCGAAGGGGCGGTGTGGGGCCAACGCCGGAGGAAGGCTGACGCTGAGAAAAAACAATTGAATTCATTTGATGAGCTACGTCGCCAGCGCGCGAAAGCGAGACGATACCGCACCTTGGGGCCCTGAACGACGTTCGGCGTTTGTCGCAAACGCGGAGAGAGAGACTGGACTGGAGGAGGAGAGCGGGAGAGTAGCTGACGTCGGGCTGGACTCGACGGGGGAGCAAAGGGACGTGAGAGGCGGGCCCGAGTTGAACGAGGATGCCTGCAGGCCGGGGGCAATGACCCGGCGGAGCCGCTCCTTCCCTGCTTCGGTAGCGAGATAAGATGACACAGCGAGTTCGCGGGACGACACGATCGCGGCTGCAAGTGACGATAAGCAGAAGCGAACAGGGCAAAACGGCAAGTGGTGCGCTGAATCGGTGGTCGCAGGGTCGCAGAGGCCGTGCGCAGTCGCCGCGTCCGAGTCCTTGATGGCGTATGACAATGGAGCTCTGACACAAACCACAAGCGCGAGATCGATCGTTCTGAGCACAAGTGGGCGATGACGTGTGCCCGTCCTTGCTTGCAGGAGAGAACAGCAGGATGTGCGGCGTGGCTGAGTGCCCATCGTCCTCTCAGGTACATGGGATGCGATGATTTTTGGTGATGACGTCAAAGGACGGCGGAGTCGGGCAGCGCGCCGCCGCGTGCGCTCGGAGCCGGCAAGCTTGCCTCTTTCAGCCAGATCCACTTTGCACGAAGCGCTTCCGCAACATAGCGCTGCGCGATCGACGTCTTGGCA